TAGAATCTAGCAGATGGCTTAACGTCAGAGGGTGTTCTTTCAACATTTGTTGAATGAATTGCTGCTATAGATGGAATATTTGTGTTCCCCCCAATTCATATGTTGAGATCCTAACCCTGTATTTAGTGTCTTTGAGATGCAAATAAGTCATGAGGGTGGAGCCTTCGTAAATGAGATTAGTATCCTTGAAACAGTGACCTCAGAGAGTTCCCTCTTCCTTTCTACCAAGAGAGGCCATAGCAAGAAGTATTTATGGATAGCATTTATGAATATTTATATTCATTTATGAATAGCATTTATGAATAGCATTTATAAATCAGGAAGTGGACCCACACTAGACGCCAGATCTGCAAGTACCTGGATCTTGGACTTCTCAGCCTCCAGAAGAATTATGATAAATATTTGTTGTTTAATACCACCTAGTCTATGGTATTTTGTTACAGCAGCCCAAATGGACTAACACAATTAGTATGATTGCATAAAATGAATTGCATTTAGAATATAGTACTATAATAAATATTTTGGGGGGGCTAGTATAATTTTCTGATATAGCTGTTTTCTGTCTTGCCTTGATTGTCAGAAAACTCAAATGTAATACAATGTACATGTTTTGATATTTGCTTTTTCTTTATTTTATGAGAAAAAGGCATGGCTATGAACAACATATCTACACCACAATTAAGGGAGGACAAAAGGGAGGTAATGGGGAAGGGACCTTGACTATGAGCTTTACTGTCATGACTCTGAAGTTGTTATCACTGGCCCAGAGTGGTCCAGTGTGGCTTTAGCGTAAGTTGGGCCCTGAGGAAAAGAAGTATAATCAGATATGCAACTGGCCGAGTGCAGTGTGGTGAGTAGGCTAGGGTCACAGGCACAGATGGTACCATTCTGCCTCTGCCATTTACAAATTATAGAACTACTTAGTGCCCAATTTTCTCATTAATGGGGGCAATAATAATTCCTAGCTCATAGTTTATTTTTTTGTGGAATGGGGTACTACTGTTTAAATGAGTTATTTCATGTAGTATAGTGCCTGCTATGTAGTAACAACTATTAGTTTTATTGTGCATAAGAAAAACAGTTGTGATAGACATAAAAGCTTTCCAACTATGCCTATACCCTGATCCCTAGAACCTGTGAACCTGTTAGCATATATGGCAAAGGGGAATTAAGGTTGTTAATCATTTGATGTTAAAATAGTGATACCATCTTGGTTATCCAGGTAGATTGATTTTATGTGTCACTTTGGCTAGGCCACGTTGCCCATGTATTTAGTCATACATTATTCTAGATGTTTCTACAAGGGTATTTTGAGATGAGATTTACATTTAAATTGGCAGACTTTGAATAAAACAGATTGCTCTCCATAATATGGAGGGGACTCATCCTGAATAGCACAAAAGGCTGACCTTCCCAAGTCAGAAGAAATTCTCTATCAGACTGTTTTCAGACCCCACTGAGTCTCCAGTCTGCTGACCTCCTCCATCAGATTTTAGACTTGCAAAGCCTCAAAAATTGTGTAAGTCAGGTCTTTAAAATTAATATATACATATAAATTATAGATTATAAATTATATATAGATCTCCTCTCTTGATTCTGTTTCTCTAGAGAACCCTAATACAGATTTTGGTACTGAAAGTAGCTCCACAGGAACATAATCTTAGAGGTGAGTTTTCTGAATTGGTTCTTGGATTTCTGATATTGGCTCTCTAATCTGATTAGATTTAAAGACACTAATGACTCTAATTATAGTAGTTAAGAGAGCACTGATCATGGCAATAGAAATACAGAAAATATCACCACTTTATACTCACAATCAAGCACTTATGAGGAGCAGGATCTTGAATTCCTAGCTCACACATCACCTAAACAACCTGAAAGCTGCCCTGAATAAAAGACCCTTATCTCTTATAGACACAGGGCTGAGATTGCTGAAAAACAAATTTATAGTCTCATCCCGTGAGTGACTAAATTGCAATGTAAATTGAACTCTCAAGCTCACAGGTTATTTACTGTTACAGTGAGGGCATTGATAGGGAAGGAACATTGTCCTTAAAGTTGGGATGGAGACATGTTGGAAGACACTCATGAAGCTGGGGACATTTTAGCCCCTAAATTCTGAAGAGATTTTGACAGTAGACTTAGCCTCTCTACCCCCAATAAAAGCAGCCACACTACCTGCTTAACTGAGATTAACTGAGGCAATTGCCATGTAAGAAAATGCTGGTTCCCCTCAAGACTGACCCTGACCACTGCTCTTTGTTACTAGGTCTATAACTAGACGAAGTCCCAGAAAGCCTCACTAACTGTGAGGTATGAAGTGCGACCCATGAGGAAGTATACTACATCCCACAAGAACTACTTGAGTTGGCTAATTTATACTAACAAAAAACCTGGGACTATATGTGGGAATGGATATTAAAGATGTGGAAAAATAGTGAAAGTAACATAAAGTTGGATTCCAATGAATTTGTTGATATGGGCACACTAAGCAGATGTTCTACTTTAATGTCACAGCTCAGGGAATTATAAAGGGCTCCAATGGTTTGACTGATTGGCTGGCTGGCTGGTTGGTTGGTTGGTTGGTTGGTTGGCTGGTTGGTTGGTTGATTGGCTGGTTGGTTGGCTTAAGCATGGGATAAAAGGTCGCCAGAGTAACTGAGCTAGAAATACCATATCTGCCTTGGTTTACTGTAAATGAGAGAACTCAAAGACTTAGGGAGATGGAAATTTTGAGTTGATTTGTCATTTAAGACCTACCTCCCTTCCCTGGGAAGGTCCAGGAGACATCTTTATGTGTCCCCCCTACAAATTAATATGCTGAAGTCTTACCACCAGTACCTCAGAAGTTGACCTTCTATGGAAATTGGATCCTTACAGAGGTAATCAAGTTAACTTGAGGTCATTAGAGTGGTTCCTAATCTGATTCATGTCTTATGAAAGAGGAAAATTGAATGTGCATGTATGCGTGCACACACACACATACACACAAGGAGAAGACAGGGATCTACAAAACCAATGAGATGGGCTGGGAACAGATTCTCCCTCACAGCTGTCAGAAGGAATCAATTCTGCCAACACCTTGATTTCAGACTAATAGTGCCAGAACTATGAGACAATAAATTTCTGTTGTTTGAGCCACCACCCAGTATATGGTGCTGTGTTGTGACAGCCCTAGCAAACTAATATACTAAACACTAAATAAATGTTGACTTATTATTTTTATTATTGCTGCATTTTGAAAAGAGTAGAATCATAGTACATCTATCAAATTCATTGAAAGCTTTTGTATGTGCCAAAAAAAGCAACTGCCTTCTGCTAGCATCATAAACTTAGGCTTAAATGTATTGCTTTTATGTTTAAGAGTCAGCAGGCATAACTTCTTGATGGCTTACTACATTTCTGGATGGTCTACTTATCTTTGTTATCCTCTGTCCTTATTTGGGAGGCTTGCTGTCTTCTTTCTTGGTTACTAGTTTACTGCATTAAAGTTATGTCTTTTCCCTAAATACAAATATAACAACAGAGTTGGTTTATCCCACCATCTACTTGGTCCTCTTAGACAAAGTTTATCATAACAAAAATATCCTTTTGTTTAGGAATAATGCATGTACACATTCAAGAGAATGATATTCAAGTCTTCTTTCAGATGTTTGTCATTTCTCATCCAGTCTTCAGCATTTTGCATGTAATAAAGGTACACACTGAGCATCTGTATGGTGAGAAAGAGAACTTGAACTGCCTTCTTAGAACACTTCCCTCTTTGCCACTAGATGAAGTTTTAGGACATGGGTCTGTTAAGTGGAACTATGGATGTTCCCTATCAGCCTCCATTTGGATAGCCTTTCAACTCTGCTCTTTTCTTGCATCCTGCTCAAATCTATCTCACCAAAATATTTTTCTGGCACAATTTTCTGTTCACACTATTTCTGAAAACAGAGTGACCATATCCCATGTTTTTGAAAGTGGGTAGACAGAGCACCATTAGAAGCTAAAAACTAGGACTTATTACTCTTCATGCTGGTATTGCATCCTATAGAATGTTTTAAAATAAAATATTTCTAAGCTTAAACTCTGATGACCTACCCCAATAAATACTGAACAAGAGATTCTACTAATAACCACAAGATGCATGCAAATATAGATATAGGATATCCCAGAGTCTTAGAGAAGTTCTGAGCTTTAATAAACTCAGAAGTATAAATGCTACAACTTATGAAAACACACTTTGAAAGGTTAATTATGAATATTTCTCTCATACTGGTCTTTAAATTTGAAGAAAAAATTCTTAATTTAAGTTCTGGTTTCAGTCACTCTGCTGATGAATTTTTTAATTAATTAATAATTTATTCTTCTAAACAAATGCAAAAGAAATGGAAATGAATTTTCAAATAATGTCTTTTATTTGTAAGCATCTATACTTCTAGAGTTATTTAAAGCCTTAAATCTCACTAATACTTTTGGAGACATTGCTTCATTAATTCACTTTTTTTCCTTGAACAAGTCCTTTTCTTTAATATGATAATATGATTTTTGTTTTCTCAGTAGGAAAATGTTTATTTTTCAGTTCTGAATCTAGCCTATCTCAGCTGATAGATTTTGTAGTTGCCAATTAAAAGACATTGTTCAGCACTGTCCTGCATAAAAACAATCTTTTTTTTTTTCCTTCTACAACACATCAAAGTGCATTTCGATTGGAATTCCTCTAACATACTCATCACCAATGTAACCCTGGGACTTCATTGAATTTGTTTACATTTCATCTGTTACTGCCACTTAGGACCCAACTTAAAATCTAAGTAAAGAAAGAAAATGTGAGGTTTCTTCTATAAAGATAATTGCAAAACAGAGATCAAAGGTACAATTCTACTTCTCAATCTGTGCAATCTAACTTAGTTTACAATTAAAGAATGATTTTAATTGTCAAACTTTTAAATTTTATTAAATGTTTGTGGCAATACATCGAATGAATTCCAGACCTATATAAATACACAGGCAGCTGTTTGTAATTTGCATTTTATCAGTTTTGAAAGAGCACAATGTACTTCCTGCATCTTATTTTCAGAATTTGCATTTTATCATCTTTGGCTACCCAGTATATAGTATGGAGTACTTGAATATCTCAGTCTTTGAATTTTCATTTTTGATTGTAAATCAGATGATATCTGGAACTTTTCTCTTTACTCATTTTTCTCTTCTCTCAACCTCCAGATTTACTTGCTCCCATTTCTTCTTGGCTCTAATAAAACACACAAAATATGTCAATTATTTTCTTTTTCAGGATTCTTCATGGCACCAACATTCTGCATTCCTTTGCCTAATTACTTACCATAAATATAAAGGCAAGACAAAAACAAAGCTCATTGTTTTAATTCGTAATTGTTCAAAACGTCATTCAAACTAATTCCATTTCTTTCCAGAGCTTTTGCATTTGGATGGAGGGATGGAAAAGAATGGAAAAAATCCTACATGTAAGGCTCTGCCTCGGTGCACCCAGAATGAACAGAACGGATGAGCTGTCCTACAGACACAGGTGCCTCTGGTCACACCAGCTCTATCCTGATCAGAAAGGACATGCGGCCTTAAGGGAGGGCTGACATCTCTAATAGCCTTTAGCTCCTTTCCTTGGTTCCCACACATTTTCTTCTCCTACTGCAGTATCCTCATAGCATCTGACAGCATTTTCCCAAAAGGCTCCTCTCACCCATTTACAGTTCTGTGGCCTTGGCTCTGAGATATTCCTTAGTGGAACAAACTAGTGGCAGCTTGTGCTTTCTGCCTCCTCTCTCCATCAGCCCATCTGTCCGCTGGGAAATGCTGAAATTGTTCCTCTGCACCCTAGCAGGAAGTGCAGGGGAGGAAACACAAGCTGGTCTCTCTCTAGTCTGAGAATCACAACAATTGGAAAGGATAAGAGTTTGGGGGTTACAGATTTCCCAGTCAAAAGCTCAGGTAAATAAGAAAACCCGATGTTTGTAATTCTATTTAATTTCTTGACTTACGTCCCCATTCTGCCTGATGTAGAGGTCCTTTCTCCCGGACCTCTCTGCTGCTTATTCTCATTTCTAGGGTTGGAACAGGGGAAAATGGTTGCTGCTTTGTGACTGCAAGGAAGAGAATATTACTTCAGCAATCTTGGGTCTCCAGAAGGCCTGGGTCCTGTGCTGGTGAATGGTGGTCCAGACAACATAGCCTATGGTTTCTCAAACTTTAATGTGCATCTTAATCACCTGGGGAACTTGTTAATAAGCATATTCTAATTCAGGCGGTCTGATAAGAAGATTCTACATTTCTAACAAACTCCCAGGTGGTGGTATTGCTGGTTGCCCTCAGGCAACACTTCAATAGCAGGTATCAAGTGGATGATTTGAATTATAAACCACTCCCTGGCAGAGCCATCTTTTGAGATTCTCATAATAATTTGAGATTGGAGTCCTCCCCTGCAATAGGACCAGACCACAAAGGCATCTTCGATGTTATGCTTTCAGTCCCAGCCCAAAGACTCTGTAGATCCTCTTTGTAGCTCCTGAGGAATTCATTTTCCCTTGAAACTCACAAGAATACATGATGCCCTCCCAAGTAAACTTGGAACTTGGGAATTTCCAGAGGCTGTCTCCAGCCCTGTCTCATGTTAGACATGGCTTGCTCCCCCCACTCCCACCACCAGATGGCATTTATAAATTCTCTCCAAAGCTTTTTTCCCTGGGTTGCATCTGGAAAGTACAATGCAGATCCTCTTTATGTTCAGATTCTTTATAAACTTCAAAGGGAAATCCATCACTAACTTTCTGCCCCTGGGCCCTGGCATAGCTGGAGGTGACAGGAGAAGAGCTGATGAAGACTAGAATGCATTAAGTGGCCCCACACTGTATCTGATTTTTTGCTGCCCCTCCATATTCTCCTCCTTGCCCTACAGATTGAATGGGGCAGGGGGAGGAGTTTTATAAACTCACATCCTCTGCACATTCCTTTTCTTGTGCCATACATGTTTCATGCTCTTATGTGACCCCTCTTCACTCCCCAAATCCTTCTGTAATTCATGTGTAACTACCTGGGATGGGAGAGGAGAAGGCTGCTGGGAAACTAGAGCAGTTACCAGGATGGAGACATGGATGAAGAGCATACCCTTTAATACTTCAAATAACATCACACCATAAGGAAACCACAGGAGAAAAAGATGTAGCTCAAAAATTTGTAGTTTTATCCAGGATTTTTACCTCCTTTCCATCAAAAGTTAAGTACAATTACATGTGAAAATTCACAGAAATCTAAGAGAAAATACAGCCAATTAAATAATGCTACAGCAGAGTTCCCTTGGAGTACAATATGATGTGGAAAGATACGGGCAAAAAAAAGAAAAGCAATTGGCTTCACCGTTGAAGTTAAGAGTTTTGAGAGATACTACTAAAGAAGAACTCAGCTGTTTTTGGGGGCTTTTCTTTGTTTTGTTTTCTGGTTTTGGGTTTTTTTGGAAAGTGGATAGTTTCTAACCTGGATGTGTTCAGTTTTCATTCTGGAAAGCACTTGTAAAAGAGTTTATGGATTTCAGATGATTCTGAAAGTTCTAGGCTAATGATTTAGGTAGGAACTGTCTAGATTTTTGGGGGAAGATTCAATTTTCTGAGAAGTAACTGAAACTGTTTTTATCCTATGTGGTTTTCCAAATCTACTGTGCCAGCCCCAGAGCAGCTTGGAGGAGCCACCAAGCTTTTTAGCAAAAAAATCACCTGAGGTTGGGTCTGCTTCCAACTTTCATCCTGGGAGGTTCCCAGGATACCCATACTCTTCCAGAGAACAGAGCACAAGGGAAACACCACAGGCCCTCAGAGCATCCTGATCTGGAAAGTTCATCTTAGGTGCCCTGTCAGTCTGCATCAGCTAATATTTATGTATGGATATAGTAGGGCTTTGATATTTTGTGTCAAGATATGGTTTTATATATTTACAGTTCAACAAAGAATGCATTTTAACAGGTCATTGCTGCAACTGCTAAGCTTGTATCTAAGGAGAGAAATATATCAGAAGAGTTCTGATAACACATAAAATATAAGCAAAGGAGAATAAAATAAAACAAAGTAAAATTAAATTGCTAGTACACGATCTCTACTAAACTACAATATCATGAACTTTTTCTAAATTTTTCTAAAGTATGTTTCCTGACCTTAGAAACTTGTCATTCATTTTTTTAGAATTATATGATACATTAAAATTACTACTAAATATTTACCTGTATATATCTTTTCAGTTTTTGAATATGTTTTTGAAAAAGGAATTCTTTTTCTCCAGGCTGAACCATTATATGATGTTGATATATATTTATCTGAGGAAAAAAAGAAGACCAGAATTCATATTTTCTAATTTTAAAATTATATTCCAACAGTGTCTCAAAGTTATAAATATCTCTGAGCTATTCTCTAAGTAATTTATTTTAGCATTTCAAAGCTAAGGCATTAGGAACCTGAGTGAGTTTATTAAGACCATATATGTTATCAGTGAACATAATTATGCACCTTTTAGTTGGCTGTCCAATTCTTCAAATAAGGCTCTGTCCCATGACGCTAAGCTAAGGGAGACTAGGATATCTGGATGTGATCAAAATATTTCATTGCCTTGCTTTATCCTGATTTTACAGACAATTCTGCTAATACTTGCAGAAGACAGAAAGAAAAAAGAAAGAAAAGACCTAGGAGGCATTGCCAGTTCTCTTTACCTTCCATAAAGTGACTCCCATCAGGGCAGTGATTGCTCTACCATAGTGAACTCACTGCCCCAGGAAACCAAAGCCTTTTATATACTGACTTGCTCTGTAAATACCTCCTTTCCTCTGGCAACTTTATATCTGAACTATTATCTAACAATGTTGTATTTGTGTTTTTAAGCATTACTATGCAGCTATGATTCTCAAAGAATGGTTCATAGTAATACTAAGAATTTCTTTGCTTGTTTTCCTGTGTTAGCATTTGCACTAATGGCCCAAAAGCAATAGTGGACATAACTGTGACCACCTTACCATAGATCTATTGACAGCCAATAACAATAAATTTAATAATAAAATAATAATAGTAATAAATAAAATTAAGACTGTTTTACCTAAGAATATTCTTGTTTTATATATAAACCCATATATCATTTTATTCTAAAACAAATAGAAGAAAAACAATTTAAATAAAGCTAACTTCTACGTAAAAGAAAGAACCTAAAAGAGACATTGAATTTTTACTTATGTTTCAGAAATTACACAACATTCGGAACTCCTAGACTGTGAACACAGGAAAATACAAACACGAAATTAGAGGGAATTAAGTGGCCCTTTGTTAAGTTGAGAGAACTGAAACCCAACTTCAAAAGAGCAAAATTCATTTGAGAGAGGAAGGAAAGATGTGTTCCCTTCTCCCTTGTGGCCTTGTACATACTGACATATACTACGAGTTTGCCTATTACATGATGAAATGATTTAGAAGCAATCTGCACATGGCAGGAGAGATGAGAGGTTGTCAAAAATATTGCAGTTAATCCCCAAACTAACCCTTTCAGAAAGCAATCATGAAGGCTTAAAGGAAAGCCAAGGCGTTAGCCTGAAAGTGGTGATTGAACAACATGGTTAGTGGAACAAGAAAATGTCAACCATTTGAAAACAATCCTCAAGAATGAAATAAAGCTATCCAGGGGGGAACAAAGCGCAATGCTGTGAGACAAAACACTAGGGAGGTTCAATGTCTACTCATCTGCACCCAACACATTTTTTAACATATCTTTAAAAAAATTTTTTAATGTTTATTTATTTGTGAGTGAGAGAGAAATAGTGTGAGAGGGGGAAGGGCAAAAAGAGATGGGGACACAAAATCCGAAGCAGGCTCCAGGCTCTAAGCTCTCAGCAGAGTCTAATATGGGGCTCAAACCCATGGGACACGGGATCATGACCTGAGCTGAAGTCGGATGCTTAACCGACTGGTTAAGCACCTGGGTGCTCCCTAACATATCCTTTAAACCACATGCACTCCTGCTCGTGGAAGAAATCTTCCTACTAGTTCTCTAAGACATCATGGTGATGGTGATGGTGATGGCCTGGAAACAGAACAGGGATTGGGTAAGGATGAAGATTACTTGGACCATCATGTGATTCCATGGGAATGCAAACCACGTGCATGAGTAAATCATATAAAGAAAAAGCCTCACCTGGACAAAGGTTGACTTTGGGTTCCTTGTTAACATCGACTTTATTGTAGGACCTATTTGTGGGCCTGCTGCGGGGAGGTGCACTCAGTGAGACAGTCCTGAGAGCATCTCTCTGAACATGGATATAGGATGCATTCTCAGCATTTCTGTTCTTATTATTGCGATGGTAACTCATTTTATTTTTGGGATTTGGGGTCTGTACTGCTGTAAAAGAAAGCAGGAGAGGCGTGAGGGATAAAAGAAGCTGGTTTCATACCCATAAATAACATACTGCATGGTAAATGTATGTGCTATAGAAGACAATGTGCAGAATGTATGTGCTATAGAAGACAATGTGCAGTAAGAGAATTAAATTTATAAGATTTGGGTTGAGATGTAAAATAACATGTTGCACAATAGTAATTTGTTTTTTAATTAGAAAATATTATTTTATATCTACTTTCTTTTCAAATTATAATTTAGAAATATCAAATACATAGATCCCTTACCTCTCCGCATTCCTGGGCCAGGAAAATTCTTTGGTTCATCATAAATCCATTTTCTTTTTTTCACACCTTTAAAGTGAGGCTTCCTCACTGGCTGGACATCATTCACTTGAAGAAGATACAAATTTTTAGTTTTTTTAAGAGATTCCTTTATCTGAAAATTACTGTAGGTGAGAATTACATATCTGTGCATTCACATGTCAAGTAACAGAAAAAAAAATACACTACACTAATACTTCACTTTCTAGAACAAAGTGTGACTTATTTTTTAAAATACCCCACCCCCAAGAAAAAAGCTTTCCTGATAATTGATTAATGAGAAAAACTTCGATAGAAGTATTCCTCAGAGAGAAATGTTTTCCCCCAAAGAATGTGTGGATTGTTTAAAAGAATACAAAATTACATTGCAAATATAATTATATATCTCATTATAATGTTATTTTTAAGTAGTTTTAGAATTGTTATTTTGAACATAAATCTACTTCCTAAGGATAAGGATTAATGTAAAATACTTTTAGTGAATATTACTTTATTCTTTTAAGTTTTTTTTAAATTTTTAATAGTTTTTTATTTATTTCTGCAACAGAGAGAGACAGAGCATGAGCAGGGGAGGGGCAGAGAGGGAGGGAGACACAGAATCTGAAAGTCTCTAGGTGCTGAGCTGTCTGCACAGTACCCGATGCGGGGCTCGAACCCATAAACCACGAGATCATGACTTGAGATGAAATCGGATGCCTAACCGACTGAGCCACTCAGGCGCCCTATTTTAAGTTTTAAGAATTTGAGTATAAGGTTAGTTTGGTGAAACAAGACTAAGTAGTCAGAATTGTAATTGCTAAGAGTACTAAATTATTCACGTTTTACTGGCATATTTTTACACTGAAAAATTTATATAGAAGCTCAATTTTCTAGGAATTTCTAAGGTACACTTCTCCAGAGAATCTTAAAACAATTTAGTCGACAGGGCATTCTTTGTTATTTCTCTGTTTGGAGATCCTGAACATTCACTACTGCATGAAGAAAATGAACATCAAGTTCACTATGTAGATTATACTAACTTTCTGTAGTGGACTAATAAATCAAATCTGTCTTTGTCCTAGCTCTCAAATTCAGTTAAGCATTAAGTTTGAGTTCGGATTCACCACCTCCTCTCCAAACATCATGCCCTGCCCTTACTCGCAAGCTCCCATTCCTAAGATTTGAAAACCATGTTTTTAACAAATGTCACTAAACTGAGCTTCTTAGGAGTAAACCATCATGGTTCTCAAACTCCCACTCCTAGGATTTGGAAACCATATTTTTAACAAATGTCGCTAAGCTTCTTAGGAGTAAAACCATCATGGTTCCCCCTTCAATGCTTGGCTGGGATCCAAGAACATTACAATCTCAGTAAATGAAATAAGTGAAAGAAGGAAACAGAAAGGAAGATTCATGAGTCTTAATTGTATCAAGAGAAGTAGCCCGGAATACAGAATGGCATGAAGAAACCAAATCATGAAAAATAATCAATCACATAATAAAAACTTGTCAATGTATCCCACTATGGGTTAAATTTAAAATGGTGTACTAATGAATCTTCCGAGAATGGAGTATATTGTTAATTTTAATACCTAAATTAAACTAGTGGGAATGTATATAATTTACTAGGACCTACACCACAATTCATTTCAGAGTTAGTAGAAGAATATTGTTTTTAATTCTTAATCCTGAATAATTTTCAAACCATCCTTTTTTCTTTCATTTTAAAAAACTCTATTTCAAATAAGCAAAACAAATCAATGATAAGACAAATATATCTAAGGCCAAAAAGTGATAGAGCTAGTGTCTCACTTGAAGAGGGGTCCTCTCTGCACTTCATACTGATATTCTCAGTAGCATTTAAAACATGCGTTGTAGGTACTAGTCGGGTAGTTAGGGAACGCTTTGGATGAGGGCTGTCCTTGTTATCTTTTAAAGCAAATTAAGAAAATAAAATATCAATGTTAGTAAAAGAAGCTTTCAGTTTGTATTTCACTTTTCAAACATTATATAATGGGTATACCTCTTTCAAAAATACATATTAATTTTTACAACACTGAAATTCACTAATCACTACATTGACTCCCCAAAATTTGTCACTAACAAAACATTAAAAATCTTTTATACAGACATTATCTTCAATATATAAATTATATATTTGTGGCAATATTTTTAATAACTTCATACAAAACAATCAGAAGGTTATCAATTTTAAATCAAACGTGCTGATTTAAATTAAGGTGCCAAAAATAATTTAAATGGAACAACTTTTGTGTGTTATATGCTTTGAAGCAGGACTTTCTAACAGAGCCTTATATAATGATGGAAATTTTCTCAGTCTGAACTGTACAAAATGATAGCCACTAATCATATGTACATATTGAACACTTGAAATATGGCTAATGCAACTGAAGAGCTGAATTTTTTAAATGTTTTATTTATTTCTGAGAGAGAGAGAGACAGGGGAGGGGGGAGGGTCAGAGCAGGGGAGGGTCAGAAAGAGAGGGAGACACAGAATCTGAAGCAGTCTCCAGGCTCTGAGCTAGCTGTCAGCACAGAGCCCAATGCAGGGCCAGGGCTCAAACCCATGAACGTGAGATCATGACCTGAGCCAAAGTCGGATGCTAAACCGACTGAACCACCCAGGCGTCCCAAGAGCTGAATTTTTTTGAAATTTCATTTTAGTTTAAATTTAAACAGCCACAGGTGAAGGGTGGCAACTGTTATTAGTGTAGTTAGAATTTTTTTGTGTGTGTTTTATGTTTTTGATCTATTGGGCAAAATGTTTCCATCTTTGAGTGAGAGGGAAAAGATTTATATATCATTTCCCATAAGAATTATTTGATCACAAGTGCCTTAACCTATTCTTGAAAATGTTTATTTAATGGTGACAAAACAGTAGATGAAACTGTTTAACATTTGGATGGAGAATATGTAAAGCCCTCTAATTACAGGACAGCAATACTTTTAGTCTGTGACTGAGAGCTGCCCAGCAGAGAGGGACTAGCTGGGAGATTCTAAACATGGTAAGAGGAGTACAAAACTATGAAGGATGCATTTTATTATATCTCTTGATTATTCACAGACTATAGTTGGTAATAATTACAAAATGGGGAAGTCAGAAATTAATCATGAAATTAATACTCTTCACAGTGTTCACAAAGCTTTCTGAGAAAATTCAATCACACAGAGTATTTGAAGTTGGAAAAAGAAACTAAAAAGGAGTTGGTTTTACCATTTAAAGACCAATAACTGTAGATCTAGTAAGACTCCTAGAAATTATGTAGTCCAAGAGGCCAATATTTTAGATAAGGAAAGTGAAGCTAAAAGAGATGAAGTCTCGTGGGCAAACACTTAGGGACAGACCAGGACTGAGAAACCTTACGGCTTTTGACTCCTATTCACTGGATTTAGTGTATATTTCAATTTATTACCTTGCCTCTTGTATTGGTTTCTACAAGTGTCAGGCTTTATATTTAATTTATCTATCCAAATTATGAACAGATTAAAGTTATAGGATGGTTCATTACCTTTAGTATTTGAATATTTTGACATGGTAATTTCTTTCTCTTCAGTTAAAGCTTTCTTTTCATCTACTCCAAGAAATATGATCTTCTGTGGAACGTAACAGTCACCACCTATGACAATACCTTACTGTCAGTGGCTATGATGGCAGAAAGTTGTAAAACACTGTCTTCCGATACAAGATTATCCTCCACAATATACCTTTTGCCCAGTTTTGTTTAAACATTTCTTAATGATACCACCCACATCTCTATACATATCATATATGTTTAAATTAATATATGTGCACATGTGTGTATATAAATATACAATATATACACTTACAAACAGATAATAGCAAAAAATTAACATAGTCAACACAATTAATTTGCCTTTAACATATGAAAATCTTTATTTCTACCCTGTACCACCCTTTAGAGGTACTTAGAGTAAATATATCTTCAGTATAACATCTTCAGACATATGAAAGCAATTTTTATGTTCCTTAAAGTTCTTCCATTTTCCAAGATAAACATCCCTAATTGCTTTAAAAATTATATATTCTAATTTCCAGATTCTTCACCATACAAATTACACTTTTGTAACATAAAATATTCGCTTCAAGTAGCTTTCTTTTAAAATGACACACAAATGTGGACTACCCTATACAGAAATCAGTGGAACTGGTGTAATAATAATTGACATTTACAGAGCATTCTTCTATATGTCAGACACTCCACTGAGTACTTTAAATGACTTATCACCTTTAATGATATTCCTATACTATTCCTAATAATTCAATGTGAGTTTACCTGAGCTATTTGGTAGCTAACACCAATTACTAAATAATTTTTAAACCTTCTGTCCAACAAAAAACACTTATTTTTTTCTTCACAATCTGTATCATATCAAGTCTTTCCCAACTTGAAGAAAATCTACCATTAATGTCTTGAGCTTAAATGCAAGACTGTTTATCACAGTTTGAGTTTACCTTGTTTAAACTTGGCTCATTGATCCAGCATATTAACTTCCAGACATCTGTCAATTTTATAAACATGTCTCATTCATCCAGACATTCAATTATTTAAACATAAAATCATTTATTCTACAAATATTCACAGTGTGCACATCATGTGTCAGACATTCTACTGTAAGGATTGATCTATGGCAATTAATTATATACAGTTCCAGACCTCAAGTTTCTTACCCAAAGCCAACAATAAAAATGTCAACATTTTGAAAAAGCAAAATTAGTTATGTGAGAAGAAATTTGGACTCATTTATTATATATTCAGAATCAACCAGCTGTAAATTAACTCACCTCCATTTTCAAAAGCAGCAATGTCAGTCCTTGGCTTCCTATCCAGTGATGCTTTTATCTCACCTTGCCTTTCAAATAGGCTAAATTTTGTTGGAACTGTTAGACCATCCCCTAAAAAATTAAGTAAAAATAAGAAAAGAAAAAAGAAAAAAATAGAAAATCACCTCAGGGGCCATTAGGTGCTTATATAAAATTCATGATAATAGTAAAAAGTCTTACATAAAATTCATGATAATAATAAAAAGTCTAAAAATTAGTGCAAGTATTGTTTGCATAATGATATGTATAGTGATATGATGAACAATAAACTTATAAATATATGAGTTTTACACACATTTGTAATTATCAAGAAAATAACAAGCAAATTTATTTTCCTATGTGGATTATTTATTAAATGGAAATTTAAAAAATTAAATAATCTAACATTACTATGTATGTATAACATATTTAATTTGTTTTATATGTTCTTCTGTAATGAAATTTATATTTCTTTTGAATATACCTATTCATCATGAACAAATTGAGTGAAAAGCATTAGAGTCTACCACTGATAAATGCTAATTATTTAATACTAATTAAATAATTCTTAGCATTTTTCTTACACATCTCTACATAATTTTTTACTAAAATAAGCTATTAAAGGCAGAATAAGAGATACATGATAATCAAATGCACCATGTGATTTCGGATTAGATTCTAAACCAGAAAAAAAAGTTAATTTTACCATAAAGGACATTGATGACACATACTATAAAGGGAAAATACGTATAAATATCTTTGTAATCTACTATTTTTATATTCATTTCTGACGTGTATTATTTGTTTTTTTGTCTAGGTAATGTGAGCAAAGTGCTCTTCTCTAGATATGATGCCCGCCTATCAGCCAAGTCTTTCCAAATCATTTTAACATCCAACATCTGATGGTACGCTGCTGCCACCTACTGCCATGTTTAAACAGTTTACCACATATTTACTTGAGTGGCAGGCATTTTACTCTTTATCCTCCACTTTATCCTACCCTCATCTTGATCCTGGGAGATTGTCCCAACTATCATCTTTTTACTTTTACTGAAAGGAGAGGATTCAAATCTCCTACTGCAGCAAAACTTGTGTTTCATCTCATCCTAGAAGCAGGAAAACTATATAAACTCGTTATACCCATGGATTTTCTCTGGGTTTCTGGTTTTACATCCAGAAAATAATGTTCTTCTTATCTTGCCTTCAAGGGCAAAATGTTTACCAACATTGAAATCAGATTCACCAAAGCATAAGATCCAGGAAAGGCCCAGCCTTGGAATAATCCAGCTGCATTGCCTCTGAAATTGCCTGGTACACAGAAGGCACTCATTCAATAAACAAATGTATCCTCCTTCTGCCACTAACATCATCCTGTGATCTCCCTTTTGTCCTTCTAGGGTTAGGCTGTCCTTTCTATTCACAGAGAAAACTAGGTACCTACTTCCTAGGGAGCGTTCTTAGCAAAAAGTAAGATGGTAAAAGCAAGTTATTTATAGAATTACTGCATTGAGGGAGTAGTGCCCCCATATGTTTATGTAGTCTTTTCATTCTGCATTTCCTCTGGGAAAGCATAATTAATAGCAGCTTTTCATATTAAATTTAGGTCATCCGATAAAAGCATTTCATTCTCACTCTCAATTCTGATGTATTATTTATCATTTAGCTCTAGTGTACATCTTCCTAAATAATTCACAGCCTATCACACCAAGCATCTCTCATACATCACCTTGAAACACCACCTTTTCATGCCTTACCTTCTTGCAATTCACTGCCATTTTCCAAAGGCTTTTCTAACTCTTTGTCTGCTGTAGAGGCAATGCTTTTTGATGATGACATATCTGGAGTATGAAATCTGTAGTATTCACCTAATCTCCCATCAGAAAAGTAGTGGTTAGTATATTTGTCACATCAAGCATTAGAAAATCCACAAATGTTTGATTTCTTACCAGATTTATAGCACATCTCCTTTATTGCTCTTTTTTCTTCAATTTCTTCAGGAGTCTTTGTCCATAAACTAGATGCATCTATAGGATATATATTTTTTAATTAAATTGTCCCAAAGCCAAATAATGTGAAGATATATAAATCAGGATTAAGAATCCCAAATATTGTTCTCACAGATGGATTTAAAAAAATTTTTTAAATCAGTAATTTGCATACTGGTAAATGTCTCAAACTGTTATATTTTACCCATTAGGAAAATCAGCATGAGCAACTGTTGATATTTAAATAAGGTCTATCTCCCAGCCATCATACAACAAAAACTCTCCAATCCCAATGATCGTAAGCATATATAGACATAGAACAAATTAGAACATAATGAATTTAATGTACTTAAGGGAATTGAAGTTATTTTCTTAGCAAAATCTGTCATATTTATTACATTATAAACCCCTAATAGTTAAAAAACATATAAATAACATGGTAGGGTTTTTTGAATGTTCATTGTAAATCTGAGAAAAGCCTTACTAACCATTTTGTTCATCTCCTTCCTCCTCTTCTTCCTCAAAGTTAGTTTTTAAAACTAAAGGATGATGAATGGGTCGTGATATATTCTCCTGAGGTTTCAGGGGTTCCTGACTCTGGGTCAGGGGTGGAATTCCTTCCTGAGTTTCTTTCTGCGGTGTGATATCTACAGAGAAAATGCAAAATTTCAGTCCTTTTAAGATCTATATTATGTGCATGTTTAATGATCAACAGTTACCCTCCTACTATTACACATTTTGTTAAAAGGTATTTCGTCTTATTTCTGGAAAGGTTATTAAACTAAAAAAGATCAACATTTTGCCTGTAAGGTGCAGAAAATATGCTAATTCATAGATTTTAGATAGGAATTATAACCACGACTTGGTATATCACATTTTTGCTATAAATGCAAAGTAATCTTAAGTATCACTGTATTCTCATATTATGTATGTAGAATAAGAATAACTTAACTAATTATTTTATAAGAAATTAGTGAAGGCAAATTCAAATATTCCTTAGCTTATATGGCAGAGTATATACACCAAAAGAGGAATAATCCAATAGTTCTAGTTTTCTGTGACTGCGTGATCACTTGGGAGTGAGAAAGAGTGAAACTTTCAGATTCCTCTATTGGCTACACATTGGTCAGACTGTCCAAAGTTCTAGGTCATATTTAAATGTTCTGTAATCTTCAAAACTAACAAGCAATTACTAGAAAAAGCTAGTGAACATATGAATCTTCTTTCATCACCTATTCAATCTTCTTTGTCTCCTAAGTGAATCATTATCAAATTTGGCTAATTATCTGAATACACTAAAGAAGTTATTCAAAACATTTTAGGTCTCTGCATTCTGAACTTCTGATTTAGCAAGTCTAGATTAAAGCCTGGAAATCTAATTTTATTTTTTAAAAATTCTCAAGTAATTATGAAATCAGCCAAATTTGGAAACCATTGCCCCAAATGAATGATCATCTAACTAGGGTTCTAGATTATGGGAGGTCTTTAAGTGGATGTGCCATATCCCAATTATTTGAAAGCAACAAATACTATTCCAGATCCTCAATTTCCATTTTAATTTTTTCCCTAAAGTTGGTTTGCCTAAGAACAGGCTGGAGTTCACAATAGCCTTCCCTCCATTTTACAAGATAAAGGCTACCCTTTACTCATGCCAGAATTTACTATAGCATATTGTTCAAAAGAGAAATCCTCTTTTAGTGATTAACCAAACTACCACAAACCCATAGGGCTTTCTCCGTTACCTTAATTTATATACATTTCTATCAGAAGAAAATCATGATGTGGTAGGCAGTATAATGCGACCCCTAAATGTCTATGTCCTAATCCCTAGAACTTGTGCATGTATTAGGTTACGTGAGAAAGGAATTGAGGCTGCAGGTGGAATTAAGACATAATCAGGTGACCTTAAAGTTGGCAGATTTTTGTCTTGAATTATCCAGGTGGGCTCAAGGGAATCAAAAGGGTCTTTACAAGCGGAAGAAAGATGCAGAGAAATAGAACCAGGAAAGTGATGTGACAATGCAAGCTATGTAAAGTGATGCAGTGTCAGGAGGACTTGAGTTTCATTGCTTATTTTGAAGATGGAGGAAGGATAACATGAACCATGGGATACTCGAGGCCTCTAGAAACTGGAAAAGGCAAGGCAAGATGTTCCCTCCCAGGGTCTTCAGAAGAAATGCTGCCCTGGAGACAGCTTAACTTTAATCAAAGAGGTCTGTGCGGAATTTCTAAAGTATAGGTCTACAAGGTAACAAATGGGTTATTAAAGCCACGTGGTTGATGGCAATTTGTTACAGTAGTAACAGAAAATGAATACACAAGGTATTAGAAAAAATGCTACAGGGGTCTATGTTGGAACATTCTAAATTCAAATGCATGGTGGAGTATGGTAGCAGTTAAGAAATTTTGTTGAAAAATTCTGCCTCTCCCATTTCTGGACTACTGTTGTAGAATATATAACTCTTGAAGGGAAAGTCTCATGACATCAATGGAAGGAAACCACTAGTAAAAACTCTAAAGGAAAAACATGGCTTTAAATAAAGCTTTTTAGCTATTTTCGATTTTAGAGCCACATTTTTAGAAGTTTCATTGAGATGTAATTCATATACTGGTATAAATACACAATTCAATAGTTTTTAGTGTATTCACAGAGTTGTGCAGCCATTTCAGTAGTCAATTTTAGGACATTTGATTACTCCAAAGAAGAAACCTATTCCCATTAGCAGTTACTCCTCATGTCTTTCACACACCCATAGTTCTACATAAGCACTGATACACTTTGTTTCCGTGGATTTGCCTACTACATATTTCATGTAAGTGGAATCATACAATATGTAGTCTTCTGTACATGACATCTTCCACTTACCATAGTGTTTTCAAGATTTAGTCATGCTGTCACCTGTAACAATACTGTATTCCTTTTTTTTATCCAAATAATATTCCACTGTAGAGATATACCACAATTTATCCATTCATCTGAAGGTGGATACTTGGGTTATTTTCACTGTTTTGGATGTTATAATGTAGTTCATACCTACATTTGTGTACAAGTTTTCATGTGGACATATATTTTCACATCTCTTGGATATATATCTAGAAGAGGAATCACTGAGAAACATGCTGACTGTTCAATATTTTGAGGAACTTCCAGAATGTTTTCCAAACAGTTGTACCATTTTACATGCCTACCTGCAATGTATGAAGATTCCAAATTCTCCACATCCTTCTTAACACTTACTATCTTTTTGATTAAACCATCCTGATGAGTATGAAGTGTAGCTCATTGTGGTTTTGATTTACATTTATCTAATGGTTGATGATGCATGATGAGCATCTTTCATAAGTTTATTGGCCATTTGTAAATCTCTGAGAAATGTCTTCAGATTCTTTGCCCATTTTTTCATAGGATTATGTTTATATTATTGAGTTACAAGAGTCGTTGACATATTCTGGATACAATCCCCTTATCAGATATATGATTTGCAAATATTTTCTCCCATTCTGTGGGTTATCTTATTATTTTCTTCATGGCGTTCTTTGAAACACAAAAGTTTCTAATTTTGATAAATTCTAATCCATTTCTCATTTGGTTGCTTGTCCTTCTGGTGTCTCTAAGAAGGTTTTGCATAACCTAAGGTTTCTTATAAGACTTTTGTAACATTAACTCTTGAGGTATTTTTTTTTAAATCTATTTTGAGTTAATTTGTTTGTAGGCATAAGGAAGAAGTACAAAATAACTTTATGTGGCTATCCAGTTGCCCTCACACTCTTTATTGAAAATACTATCCTTCTCCCCATTGAATGATCTATGTATCCTTGTCAAAAATCAGTTGACCCTAGGCTGATTGATGTAAAGGTTTATTTCTAGTATCTCAATTCTATTCCATTGATCTATATATCTGTTTTTATGCCAGTATCAAGTGTTTTTTATTACTATAGCTTTGTAGTCATTTCTAGGTTTTGAAATTCACACTGAGTTCTGTAGCTTTATTTTTCATTTTCAAAATTGTTTTTGCTTTCTGGGTCCTTTGAATTTCCATATACATTTTAGAATAAGCTTGTCAATTTCTTCAACTAAATCATTTGGGATTTTGACAAGGGGGTGACATTAAAACTATAAATCAATTTGAGGAGAATTTCTATGATAAAAGCCAACCTATGAACATGAGCTATTCTTTCTCTTTTTTAAAAGGTTTAATTTCTTGCAACAATATTTTATAATAAGTTTAGAGTATAATTTTTGCACTTCTTGTGCTAAATTAATTCCTAAAACCTCTGGGATGAATCTCATTTGGTCATGGAGTATAATCCTTTTTAAAATGTTGTTGGATTTCATTTTCTATAATTTTATTAAATATTTTTGTGTCTCTATTCACTGGGAATATTGATCTGTAATTTACCTGTGATGTCTTAGTCTGGTTTTAGAATCAGAGTAAATACCAGCCTCATAAAATAAGTTGGAAAATAGTCTCCCATCTTCTATATTTATGGAAGAGTGTGAAGAGTTGGTTATTTTTTGCTATTATAAGTGTAATTGCTTTTTTTTTCATTTTCTGTTCTTTCCTTGCTAGTATATAGAAATCTAACCAATTTTCATATATTAATCTTTTACCTTGTAAGCTTGGTGAACTTATTCATTATAATAGTTAATTTTAATGATTTCTAGAATTCTGAAAATAAAAGATTATGCCACACATATAGAGATAATTTCACTTCTTTTTTCCCCAATCTAATTGCCTTTTATTTGTTATTATTGCCCAATTCCCCTGACTTGAATGTAAGTTGGCAAGAAGAATATCCTTGGCTTAAATGTAAATGTCAAAAATGAACATTATTGCTCCTGATCTTAGGGGAAATGCTTTCAGTCTTTCACCATTAAGTATGATGTTAGCTGTAGATTTTTCATATATCCTTTAGCAGGCTGAGGAAGTTCCCTTCTACTCCTAGTTTGATTAGTATTTGATTTCTTTATTTTTTAATCATAAAACAGTGATGGGTTTCTTTAATTGTGTTTTCATTATGATGATCATTTTTTTCCTCTTTATTCTATTGATCTGGTGTATTACATTAATTGATTCTTATAAGTTAACCCTACCTTGAACCCTGGGATGAATCTCATTTGGTCATGGAGTATAATCCTTTTTAAAATGTTGTTGGATTTCATTTTCTATAATTTTATTAAATATTCTTGTGTCTCTATTCACTGGGAATATTGATCTGTAATTTACCTGTGATGTCTTAGTCTGGTTTTAGAATCAGAGTAAATACCAGCCTCATTAAATAAGTTGGAAAATAGTCTCCCATCTTCTATATTTATGGAAGAGTGTGAAGAGTTGGTTATTAATTTTTCTTCACCTGTTTGGTATAATTCAATAATAAAGCCATAGAACCTGAGTTTTTATTTGTAGGAAGATTTTTAAGTGCCTATTCCATCTCTTTATTGTAGGTCTATTCAGATTTTCAATTTTTATTTTCTGGAGTCAGTTTTGGTAGTTTGCATCTTCCTAGAAAGTTGTTCATTTCATCTAAGTTATTTAATTTGTTGTAAAATAATATTTGTCCATAGTATTCCATTCCAATCTTTGTTATTTCTGTAAGGTTGGTAGTATATCCCCTCTTTCATTCCAAACCTTAGTCATTTCAGTCT